CCCCCCCCCCCCCCCCCCTAATAACAGTAAGAACAATAACCACTCTTAGGTAAGAGAACCACATATCGCCAAGGGCCCAGATATTAGCGGTGTCTGTTGGGCGTAGGAACGGCGCTGCCCTCCCAATGGTCAGATGACTAGGGCAACCAACATCGACAATCCACCCCCCATCCTTGGTATTTGGGTGGCAGTACACCCTTGATAATACTCTATAAAACAGAACGATCCATCCCCCCGTCCCCTCAAGTTCACCTATAACAGTGCGAAATCGCGTAGGGAACCACCTCTCGTCATTGTTGCGCGTGGTGAAATAATTCCTTCTGCCTAGCTGGCAAAACTCTCTCTCTGGCTGCCGTAATGTACGTGCGAAGTGTCCAACCAGGGTTCGATTCCTTAGACGTGTAATGCACGTCCGCAGTGTCTTTCTGGCCTGTTGTGTCTGACTAAATTACTCCTGTTCTTGTACCCTCCTCCTCCTGCTGCTGCTGCTGTTGATTTTCCTTCCTCAGAACACGTGCGATCCCAAGTGGAATGAGCCCCTGTCCTTCCTCCTCCCGTCGGGCAGCGTCATCGACGCCCAGCTCTGTCTCAGGATCGTGGGGAAGCAGAAGCTCCGGGACGACTTGCCCCTTGGCCGGGTGGAGTTGCCCCTGGCAGGCATTTCCACGGCGGGAACCAAGGGACCCGGTGACATCGGGGCCTGGTTCCAGCTGCTGGACGGCCAGGGGAGGCTTAAGATCGATGCGGAATTGGTGACTCGCCGACCTAGTCTCATCGTGTAAGGCTTGGTTCATCGCAGGCGGTGGGTGGTACCGGCAAGCGGTCTGTGTCTTCGAGATTTACGCCGACTTGGTGTATGACCCATGTAGGCCTGATGGCGTTTTGTCACGTAGGGTTCCCCGTCCACCAACAGGCGTCAAGGTTCGCTTTTTTTGCATATTTTGGAGTATTTGAGGTTCGCGTCGACATGGATAAGGCGTTCTTGTTGATGGGGGTTGCACCGGGTGAGGGGCGGAAGTTGAGGTTTCCCTTGTTTTTTGGAAGCGGGAAGGCGGTTTTGATGGCGTGTTTTGGGTGACCGTCGAGTATAGAAATTGAAGACGAAGTAGTAACTAGCATATCTAGCATATGCTTGTCGTGGGTGTTGGGTTTTTGGAGACATTCGCGGACG